ATAAACTAATCCTCATAGCAGTAAGATGTGTCAGAACCTTGGTTATCAGCACTATTCCTCTAGTCAGCATTCATAGCTGAGGGAAAACCAGTTATAACCCTGGTATGACAAAGTATTGGACTCTAAACCTTGATATTATAGCTGTTTTATCATATGGGTGGTTCTAAGTCACCCTCAGCATTCTATCAGAAATTCTGCAAGCTAATTCCCTATCTGGGAGGCCGAGTCCTCAAGAATCAATCAAATTAAACTTTACCATCTGTCTTGCCTATAAAAATGCTTGTTTGAGGTTCTGAGATTTGGAAAAATTGAGCTTTTTTGGTGCTTAACCTCATGTTCACAGATAATAATTTGGTACAGGTCTGCAGTACCTCCAAATGACCCCAAAATCTGTTAGTGTGGTATGCTATGGAAATGCTTATTTTGGATTAGAGTTTGTCAAAATTCAGAATCCATTTTTTTTTTTTGGGAGAAGACTTGAGAACTTCAAAACATCTCATGTACCCCATAAGTATATATACCTACTATGTACCCACAAAAATAAAATAAAAAGCTTTGAGACATGCAATAACCATAGAATATGAATTACAGAGGGACCTCTCAAAAGAAGTGCATTATCTCCCATTATGATTAGAGCTGAGTCACCTTTGCAAAGTACTTCAAGCCCTCAGTATTAGTCCATTTTCACACTACTATAAAGAACTGCCTGAGACGAGTAATTTATAAAGGAAAGAGGTTTAATTGGCTCACAGTTCTGCATGGCTAGGGAAGCCTCAGGAAATTTAAAATCATGGTGGACGGTAAAAGGGAAGCAAGGCATCTTTTTCACAAGGTGGCAGGAAGAAAAATGAAAGCAGGAAGAACTACCAAGCATGTATAAAACCATCAGATTTTGCGAGAACTCAATATCATGAGAACAGTATGGAGGGAACTGCCCCCATGATACAATTACTTCCACCTGTTCTCTCCCTTGTCCTGTGGGAATTATGTGGTTTATGGGGATTATAATTCTAGATGAGGTTTTGGCGGAGGACACAGCTAAACCATATTATTTTACCTCTGGCCCTTCTCAGATTTTATGTACTCACATTTCAAAACACAATCATGCCTTTCCAATAGTCCCACAGAGTCTTCTTATTCTGAGTTCTCCAATCTGTTCCAATCCCTGCCTGTTACCCAGTTCCAAAGTCATTTCCACATTTTTGCTTATTTTTACAGCAGCACCTCACTACCCCATACCAATTTACTGTATTAGTAGTCTGTCCTGGTGCTGCTAATAAAAACATACCTGAGACTGGCATAAAGGAAATTTATAGAGGAAAGAGATTTAAAGGACTTATCATTGCACATGACTGGAGAGTCCTTACAATCATGGCAGAAGACGAAAGAAGAGCAAAGGGACGTCTTACATGACAGCAGGAAAGAGAGCCTGTGCAGGCGTACTTCTATTTATAAAATCATCAGGTCTCATGAGAGTTATTTACTACCAGGAGAACAGCATGAGGAAACTGACCCCATTTTTCAATTATTTCCACCTGGACCCACCCTTCACACATGACGATTATTACAATTCAAGGTAAAATTTGGGTGGGGACACAGCCAAACCATATCAATTACCAACACATGCAGTGCCATAGCTACCCCTATTTTATGAACATACATTTCTCTCAAATCATCTTGGTAAATGTCTGGCTTTCTAGGTAGTTGTCTGAGCTCGTAGTTATGTAAAACTTCTGTTTGCTTGTTTACAAGGTTGTAGTGGAATATTGACATACCCTTCATTTTGAAATTTCAAAGATGAATATTAGTCAAGTCTTAGCTATTATAAGTATATGCTTAGATTTTTCATCTGTTCTACAATAAGAAAATTAATGTTTATGGAAATTAATTATATCCAAACCACAGTGTTTTTGACACCATGGGGAACAGACACAAAAATTGTTCTGAGTCAAATCCCAGAATCAGCTCACAGTCTAATAAAGACAGTGCATCAGAGACAGAAAGTAAATAGCTATAATATACAGTAGAATGTGGTAATTTCATAATAAACAACATTATATTTAATTTGCATGAAGTGAATGGAGAAAGGAACACAAACTGGACAAAATTTAGAGAACAGTTTTGAGGCAGAAACTATGTTGACATTAAAAGATAAATTAGATCAGGCAGGTGCCTGTTCAGCACTTTGGGATGCTTAGGCATGATAATGCTTTGAGGACAGGAGTTTGAGACCACCCTGAGCAAGATACTGAGATCCCATCTCTCCAAAAAAAAGAAATATAGCCGGGCGCGGTGGCTCAAACCTGTAATCCCAGCACTTTGGGAGGCCGAGGCGGGTGGATCACGAGGTCGAGAGATCGAGACCATCCTGGTCAACATGGTGAAACCCCGTCTCTACTAAAAATTAAAAAAATTAGCTGGGCATGTTGGCGCGTGCCTGTAATCCCAGCTACTCAGGAGGCTGAGGCAGGAGAATTGCCTGAACCCAGGAGGCGGAGGTTGCGGTGAGCCGAGATTGCGCCATTGCACTCCAGCCTGGGTAACAAGAGCGAAACTCCGTCTCAAAAAAAAAAAAAAAAAAAAAAAAAAAGAAATATAGGAAATGAGCCTGGCATACTGGCATGTATCTATGGTCTCAGCTATTCAAAGAGGCTGAGGTGGGAGGATTTAAGCCAAGATGTCAGGGCTGCAATGAGCTGTAATCACACAACTGTACTCCAGCATGGGTGACAGAGTGAGACCCGGACTCAAAAATAAGAACATATGAAGAAAATATGAAGAGCATTAGCATAGGTAGAAAAACAGAAAAAAAAAATGTACTAAGGAAGAGGAAAAAGCATTAATTAATTCAGGGAAATCAGAGTGCCTCAAGCATTGTTAAATTTGAATAAAGCTAATCAGGCTGAGATTTAAAATTAAGATGCCATTCTTTTTGCTTCAGAATCAAATTAGAAAGATTTTAAACTGATATTTTGACTTTTTAACTTTGACGTTTCACTGTCTCTCTCCCTTGTGGACCAATACATGTGCAGGTTTGTTTTTGCTTTTTGTTTTGTAATTGTGCATAAATGCGCGAAGGGCAGGAATTAAAATCTGTATCCTGTGTGGTGATTTTTGATACTTTCTCAGCCCTCACAGCTGTTCAGTTTGCAGTCTGAATAACAAACATTTCATCCTGCAAAGAGATTTACATTTTGGCATTCTCTGGCATAAACACAGTGAATGATGTGCCTATATAAATGTCTTTTGCATTCATAAATGCACATAGTGGACCCCATTTTATGAGAACCAAGGGACAGAATTAAAAGTTGAATATCAAAAGTTGAACTATGTTTTACCTCCCACAATGAAAAAGAATCATAAGTCATAGCAAAGAGTTTAAGAGTCAATCACTGTAGATTTTTTTTATATTTATTGAATACATGTTTTTATAAATCAATTCTACTTTACTTATGGTATTTATTTTTTCAAAATCCATGTTAATTTCAAAATCCAAGGCAATACAATAATGTTTCTGTACATTCATCTCATGGAAAAGTTGGATAGTTCATTCACAGTGGTTATTAAAGACTGTGGGTAAGAAGGAGATAACATTAATTTCCTGAAGCTGAAAATGTTTTGTAATATATATATTTGATAGAATTTTCATTTGTTTCCGAAAAGTAATACTAATATCTAAGAAAACAACTAGCAGTTTGTCAATTACTGTGACAGCAGTTTGTGGATCATTCATGGGAATTGTACATTGATAATTTTTCTTTTCTTTTATAGTACTATAAAATAAAACACAAACTTAAGCTTTTATTTTATTTTCTTCTACTAATACACAAATTTGGCTCATAATTCTTGTGCCAAAGAGCACAGTGACTAGTCCATTTATTAAGCATATGTAAGCAAAACAGTCAGCAACTGAGTATATATTTGTTTGGGTGAAATTTATATGCTTTTGATTACTTTTTCTTGTTTTGGTTAGTCTTTATCGCTGATATTTACCTTCATTTGAGAATTAAAAGACATAATTTTAAAAATTTTTGGATTATGCTTCTTATTAGAACTTATATTAAAGTATTTTCTGGAAAGAAAGTGAAAATTCTTAATTCAAATAGAAAATAAAATTTTTCTTTGGATTATTATACTAAATCATAGCCATCCCAGGAACATAGTAATATGTTCACATTGCAGGTATAATTTACATGTTTCAGAGCCTCCTTTTCTTCCTTAATGGATGTATTAATTTTTCAAATTCCTTAAAATACACTGGAATTTTGTTTTTAAAGTTTTATTATGTTTTTTGATCTACTTTTGTTTCTTCACTGCTCAGCTGTTTTTTGGTTATCTTGGTTTTCTATGCTTCATATATATAGTGGTTCTTAGTTCACTTATATTTAAGAATGGAAGACTGGTGACTTGTGATTTTTCTCTGTTGTGTATGTCCATTTTTCTGCTAGGTCTCTTGCACTACTGGTAGGACTAGGATTGAGAACTCAGGTAGAGACAGTGCTTATCACAATTAGAGTGAGCAGAGGAGAAAACATTTTAGCATCTTCGGATGTTAAAATGAGGAGAGCTTTATCCTTTACATGAAAAGCCATTTTAGAAACTTCAAAACCTTTGTTATCCCTGTACAATTAATTAATATTCAATAAGAGTACTAATTTGGATTTCTGATAGTATAAAGCTGGGCTATTTATGCTCAGTGTTCACTGAAATAAGGAAAAGGCTAGTAGTGATGATGTGTGGAACACCTGACTAGCATATTTCATTAGACAGACTTCCAGTTAACTTTGTTTTCAGTTGTTCTTTATACTTCCACCTTGCATGGCATTGCTGTCTTTGATCCAGGTAGCTCCCTGGGATAAGGACTTTTCTCCATCATAGACTGTTCACATGTACACATGTGGCCTGTTTGGTAGGTTCACATATTCCTCGATCCATCAGTGTTCCAATATGACTTGGAACTTCAGCCTAGAATTTAAGAATATCTCTTTAAAAATAATCCTGTGCTTGCTTTGGCAGCACATATACTAAAATTGAAACTAAACAGAGAAGACTAGCATGGCTCTTGCACAAGGATGACATGCAAATTTGTGAAGCAAATTCGATAGGTTATTCTATCTATCAGCATTTGCATTTGCTATAATTGTATTGTGGACTTAGGAGAGAAGAGAGACAAGTTCTTATTTTCAGTGCACCATTTTGAACTTAAAAAGGCATTTTCAGACACTTGGTTTAAAAAGATCAATTTAAGCCAGGCGCGGTGGCTCATGCCTGTAATCCCAGCAGTTTGGAAGGTCGAGGCAGGCGGATCACGAGGTCAAGAAATCGACACCATCCTGGCCAACATGGTGAAACTCCGTCTCTACAAAAATACAAAAATACAAAAAAAAAAAAAAAATTAGCCAGGCGTGATGGCATGTGTCTGTAGTCCCATTTACTTGAGAGGCTGAGGCAGGGGCATTGCTTAAATCTGGGAGGCAGAGGTTGCAGTGAGCCAAGATCATGCCACTGCACTCCAGCCTGGTGGCAAAGTGAGAGTCCTTCTAAAAAAAACACACACAAACATCAATCTTGATGGAGAATGGATTGTAGAATGGAGTGGCTGGTGTCAGGCAGAATAAGCAGGTTTAGGAATAAGATAGTGACAGTTGTGAACACACAAGAAGAAATAATTTCTTCCCTTAGAATGACAGGTACAATTTTAATGTAAGTATATTATGTAAATATCCAGACTACATTCTATTCTAAATTATTTTTAAATTCTATAATTAGGTTCTACATAATTAAAATTTTAACTGCTAACTTTAATTATTAAATTATATTTTCCAAAATCTAATATGTAACCATGACACCTGGATTTGCATGCAACCCATGTAGAGGAATTCATTGAAAAGTTAGAAGCTCTAACTCTTTATCTAATTCTTTATTTTTCTTTGTGTTTTTCTATAACCTCAGTAAAATTATATCTCAGCTTAATCTTTTAACTCATGATTAATAAAATGTTCAGGCTTTTGATCCTGTAATAACTACCTCACTCTTACCAGAATAACAGGTTTATTAAGCTGTTTTTGTATTATTATTCTCTGGTCTTTGCTTATATTTCCAGTAATTCCTCTGCAGCAAAATAAAGTAGTCCTTGTCTCATTAGTACCTGAAAGTGCCACCCTCTTCAAGATCATCATGGTTGTTATTACCTATTTATGTTAATTCCAAGTTATTTTTGTTACATTTTTAAAAGTCACTCATTTTATCTGATTTTTGATTTTCATTTTGCTCTGATGCATTACATTAGGACCCTCTACCAAATCAATTTAAACTGCCTTCTCCAAGGCCTAATAGTATTCTAAGGTCTAAATCCAAAGAAAATAACGAAATCCTATATTTTTGTTAATTTACTGTAGCATTTATCTTGGTTAATCACTGCTGTCTTTATATAAATCTCTCCTCTCTTAATTTCTAAAGCATCATACTTTTGTTTTTCCTGCTATTCTCCAGGCAATTTTGCTCTATTCCTTGGGGACTCTTTAATTTTTTGAAGTGTGGTGTCCCCAGGCTTTCTTCCACTTTTTACACTTATCTTTTCCTGCTATATAGCTTCAAGGTCTTATGTCATGCACTCATGGTTTAAATTCCTAAGTTAAAAACTTTAAGCGAGAACATTTTCCTGGCAGGTACTTGCAAGTTTTCTGGACTTTGATGTTTCATAAGCACCTCAAGAACAATACATTAAGAAATGAATTCCACCCTCTCAATTTCTCTTCTTACTGCACTTATGTGCTGGAAAATAAACTAGTAATGAAAGTATTATGGTATGATTTGAAAAATTAGGTATCAAATAATTTCAGAGTATATATTTTGTCCAATTCAGTATTTTGATGAAAGGTTGCATACTTCCTCATAAATTATACACCTAAGATATACCCATAAAATTAATAATTAAAAAATATTTTTAAAAAGGACGAATATATCTTTCCCACCTTGAATACTCATGTTGGATTGATGCCATATCAAATCAAATCACCACTGAATTTTGTGAAATAAAGTACTAACAACTGAGATTTAAATATGTTGGGTAGTATAATAAATCCCAGGAAAACTTATACATCTTTATGACTTAAACATTATGACAAATAAATCAATTAAAAAAGGAAATAGATATGTACCAAAGATAGATTCATTTAGAAACAACTAAAAAGAAATGTTAACAGTAGTCGTATAGAAAAGAAAGAAATTATTTTTAAAAACTTTATTAACTTTTTTCCTATGAATTCAAAAAATGTCACAAGTTTTTCCTTACAAGACAAATCTGAATAATTATTTTTTAACAATAGTTGTACTTTAACAATTGAATGTGTGAGAGCTGTGTGTACTTATATGTATTTTTATGTCTATATATTAAATGGGTTTATTGTTCAAAAATTTAAAAACACAGAAACATTTAAAGTAGTATTTAATTCCCCGTATTTTGCCTGACCATACACTGAAATAAATACTGTCAAAATTTTGGCATATATTCTAGAATTTTAAATTTCAGAATGTCCTGTTTAGTGTATATGTAATTATTTTGTTTATTAACATTTTAAATGTAGCATTTTATTTCATTCTATTTTATCTCAGAGTTCTCATGCTCTGAAAGTGCTTGTTTTTCCTTTACTTATAAGATTACAGATACTTTTCATCCCTGCTTCCTTCCCTTTGGCCCCCATCTACTTGGCTACCAATCTACCTCATTTTTAAGAGGAGAGGATTTCATTCTATGTTTGAACAATCATTTATTAACCAAGTCACCATTGGTGAACATTAGTATGTCTTCATTTATTTATTGAGAATATTAAAACAATGTTGCAGCAAGCACCCTGACCCATATTTGAAAGCTTTTGTAATTACTTAAGAAACCTATAGGCAAAGTTGCTTACTCGACTAAAATATACATTTAAAATAAATGCACTTGAAGCAAAATTTCTCTCCTGATTAGTTATAACCACTTACCCTATTGCCAAGATTGTATACTTTCTTGAATCTTTGATAACAATGGATAATTCAGATTTTTGAATCTTCTGATTCATCTCTTTAATAGAGAATTTGAAGATAATTTTATTTTTACTGGACATTAACACTTTCTTTCAGTGGTTTTTATGTTCATGTGCTTTTCCTATTTTCTTTCAGTACATTTTTCTCATGATATTTGCAGAAGCTCTTTTCTCATTATAGATAAGCACTGTGTCTTCTTTTATATTGCAATCTTTTCAATTACGTTAATTTTTATTTGTCTTAGTTGTTTTTTAATTTATTTCGTGAGAAGAATGTCAATATTGAATTTTACATTTCTGTTTTTATATCTAGGTTTATATTTGTGTGTGGACTAAAATCATATCTTAATTTTTCTAAATGATAGTATTAGATAGTAATATTTTCAGCTTCATGTTACAGGGTACCTAAACACTAGTGACTTAAGCAATAACACCATTGCTCAGTTAACAATAACACCAATGATCTCAGGTAAGAATTTTGGAGGTAGGTAGTCCAGGACAGGGAAAACAACTTCATTATATCATCAAAGACACCTGTTCCTTCTGTTTTTTAGTTTATAACTTAAGAGTGTACACTTGCTGACTTATTCACGAAAGCTCACTGCTCTATTTTCAGGTATCACAATTATGTTCCTTGGAGGAAGAAGTAATCAGAAAAATAGAGGCAGCAATATTTTCCCCTTTTTACAGAAAAGTAAATGCTATACTAAAAGTCCTAATAGACTTACGGTTATGTTTCCTTGGCAAGACCTGACTGGACAGGGCCCCTAGATACAAGGAAGCTGAGAAAGTAATAGACTTAGGCCTGTAGAATACACCTATAATCTGGCTATCATGCTTTTAAACATATATCAGAAACATTTTACGTGGCTTTTAGATGATTGCATACCTGTGCTTCTGCTGTAGCAAATAAGAAACGTAACATTTTCATAGTCTTCTTCTCTCTTCCTTTCTCTCTCTATCACACACACAGACCACACATTTAGCCTCTAGATTGATATGGACAAAAAGAAGTTTGGAAATGCACTAGCCAAATGAAAGTGGCTCCATATTGGCTAAGGTTTGCCTTATCAGAGTTTATTGAATGGTTAGTTAATAAATCACCATTTATTTATTGAGTTATTGCTTTGAAAAAAACATTTTATCATAAATTGGATTTCCATATAGAGTAAGCATCATTATATTCTGACCATGTATGCTATTTATTTTTTTAATTTCTACTAAGACCCAAACTGTCTTAATTCCTGTAGTTCTTCTTATTTGTACTGAGAAGCTTTGAGAGCCAGTAATTGTGTTTCTGGGACTTGGCTGCCAAGAATCAGGAAGACACATATTCCTATTTATGATTGCATGCCCATTTTTCCCAACTTGTTTTGTAGGCCAGAATAACCTCATTCATTAAGCTTGTCTGACTAAGTTAAATTTAGGAACAGCCCTTGGGAAGAACTTATTTTCCACAAAAAATATATGTTGTGCTGAATTTGATCACAATCCTACGGGTTCCCCAGAGTTAGCTCTAGGAGGTTAATACTTCTCTCAAATTTTTACAATATTACTGTTGATCCAAAAAGTTATCTTACAATTTTGAAAGGTGAACTACTAATTTAAAATACCTTAGACTAGATCTATATCCTGGCTGCCATTCTTTTAAATGTATATCCTAAAAAAATCAATATGGCTTTTAGGTGATTTGCATACCTGTGCTTTTGTTATAGCAATTATGAAATTTAACACTTTCCACTTCTCTTTTTTCTCTATCACACACACACACATTATATGTAATTATTTTTTGATTTTATAAGATTTGAATCATAGTTGTGCACACATGTAAAGTATTTTTTCTTTACCAGCTATATTATAATTTCCATCCTATCTGTCTATCTCTCTAGGTATTCTATCATCTAAAAATTTAATTCTAAGTAAAGAGAACTCCATTCTATGTGTGAAACATAATTTATTAAACAATTTACCATGTCCAGTATTTTATATATTTATGTATAGTCTTTTTACCTATACTTTTGTGTAGTAAAAAGACTTGTAGGCACAAAGTAAAATAAAGTAATTTAATTTTTATATTTCT